CAGACTATAAATGATGGCGTGTGAAGCAGTTTTGTGGAGAAGTGAATAACACATGATGTACATGCGCAGAATCGACTAAGAAAAGAACGTTTACATTTGAGAATAGTCACATGAATAGAAGATTCTGACATTTCAAATCTTAGGTAGAAGCAAGTGAATTAAACTTAGGCTACTGGTTTTGATGAGTAAGACCAACGGTGATGTGCGTGTGGGTGATGTTTTCTTCTCGCACCTTCCACACTCTCAAGATTGTTGCATGTTAGCCACCATTACAATGTCATGTCTCTTTATCCATTGCAAAATTAGTAGATAGAAGCTCATTGAATAAAAAATAATACAACAATCTTTGTTACTTAATTTTCCTTTCGTTAGTATTAAGAAATTGTCTATCAAAAGCTTTTCTTTTTCTCTAGTCTAAATATTAAAAATTACATGGCCTATCATCAATGAACTTTGCTTGAAAGTTCTGCGGAATAACATATATACGTATAAAAAGACTAAGGAACAGAATTTTTAATCGCTTCACCAACACAAACAGTTTATCTCATTTATCGTGTGATCTTGTGTTTCGCTACACATAGAAGAAGAGGAAGAAGACACAACACTTGTCAACCAACAAAATGAAACGAATTTTGTACCTTTCTCTCTTTATTTTATGTGCACTACATGGTGTGCTTGATGGAAGCCATTATCGTGGTGGTATTATTTCATGGTAAGCATACTCAAATAATGCTTGTTCTTCTAGTCAATCTCGCATATTTTACTTTTTACGTACTTCTTTTTCTTAGGCGTCCATTAAATAATACAGTACAGGGTACCACTGCACAAATTCTTTTACATCAAAGATATTTTTGGTACAGATTATGGAGCAGTTTTCCTCCACCTTATTGCACGGAAGCAAATGTCGTTGCTCAAACACCTATTACTGTATCCGGTGCTGCTTTGACCTGTTTAAGAAACTGCACATCTTCTCCTACCTTTCCTTCATCAATTTCAGCCAATATGATAACTTCAGATTGTGATACAAACACGATCATTGAATCATGGAGTGGTGAACTTTACACTACTTTGACACTACCTTTGACAACATCAATTACAATTGGCTATACCGGAAGTGCATGGTTGACTCAACTTTATTTAGGTGGAAGTGGTAGTTGGGCAATTGTCAATCGAATGAATCTAGCTCCGAGACCAGATGGTTATATCAATTCCAGTCCTGTTACAAGTACATTACCATGTATACTTTACCAAAGAAATGTATCAATAGTTCATACTGTACCGATGGCAGATAATGATGCTACTGATATATTGGTATGTCGTTGGTCCAATTCGAATTCCTCATATAATTACAACCAAAATGATGAATGTGGAGGTGTCTGTAAGGCAATGCCCGCTGGAACGACACTCATCGGATCCAATTGTACGTTGCAATTCATTCTACCGAACGCTAGCATCTACTATGCTTGTGCACTGCAAATCGAAGATTATTTTAACGCTAGCTCCCCGTATCCAATGAGTTCAGTTCCGATACAATTTTTATTCTATGCATACAATCCTTCCGCTGGTGCATGTGTACAACGTCCCTCAATTATCGGTGACCGTCCAAATAGCGGTATGAATATATATTCTAATCTAAATTAAATTCAAACATTTTTTTTAATTCTCTTTAGCTTGCATTGGAGTTCCTGTCGGTAAGTGCAATGAATGCCTTTTCTTTTCTAATATTCACAATAAATATTTTAGGTGTCCAAGTCAATGAAACTGTAATTGCAGAAACATACTGTCCTGGTCAAACAATTGTTGATTTTGTCACTACTTCACCTATTGGAATGACACATAGTGCTATTAGTAATCCAAGTTCTGGTAAGCAGTTGACAGTAGTTTGTTAGAATATGCAAATTTTTCAATTTGAAATATAATATCATAGGTTTATGGACAATGTTACTGACATGGACACCAACAGTAACACAATTTGGTCCTCAAAGTATTTGTGCCGGGGCAATTGATAATAGCAGTTTACAATCAGCTCCGTGGTGTATTACATACTTAGTTGGCTATGAATCGCCTAGCCTCATTAGCGTTTCAGCTTCACCAGTCGGCATTATCTCCCAAAATCAAACTATTTTTTCAATTCAAAGTAAATTTTATTATTGTAATGGAAAAATACGAGTGTCACCCATATGATATTGAGGATTTATGTTGTATATATTCTTTTTTTCAGTGATTATGAGTGACAATACTTTCAAAACATGAGAAGTCCGTCTATATGTAAAAAAAAACTCTAACTTTGTCAATTTCATTACTTATATATATAACTGATAACTTAATGATGTCTATATTTGATTTGTTTATAATGAAATCTTCTTTGTCAAATATTTAAAACATTATTTGTTACCGATTTAATTGTGTTTATATATTTTAGCCACAAGTGCAGTTAAGCGTCCATCACGTAATGGCAGTAATATTTATTTCACTGATTCTACTAACAATACAGTTGTCCAAAAATTTGATTGTGGTTGGGCACCACAAGTAACATACATAAATTTCACAATTATTATTATCTTTCCAGTTGCACCATGGATTCCTGGACATTCCTATTTTGTTACATTTGACAGTGGTATGTATGAACTTTTTTCTTCGACATTCCGTTTTGGATTAAATAGACCATTATTTTTCATTTTAGGTGCTGCGGCTGGAATTCCCTTTTGCGGTAAGTAATCCTATATGTGATGATATTTATGGAACAGTTGATACAATTATTGCAGGGGCTGAAACTCATGCAATTAATGACCCGACCTTTTAGACATTCAACATTTCCAATCCAGTAAGCACAACAACAACAACAACAACATCGTCATCAACAACATCGACAACAACATCATCATCAACAACATCGTCTACAACATCATCCACAACATCATCGACAACAACATCATCGACAACAACAACAACTACAACCTCATCGACAACAACATCATCATCAACAACAACAACATCATCCACAACAACGTCGACAACAGCAACAATAACATCAACAACAACAACATCATCCACAACAACATCGTCTACAATATCATCCACAACATCATCATCAACAACAATAACTTTATCAACAGCAACTACTAACACTTCTTCAGTAAATATATTACAGCACTCTCTTTTTCTAATTTATGTATTTCTTCATAGCCAACAGTATACACTACGATGAATTTATACAATACAACTTCAACTAAAGGTAGTAGGTAGAATTTCTCACCTCTAAGTTACTATAAAAACCTAATACGTAAATAAAGATGTAGTTGAATGCATAATCAAAAGTAAATTTAGCTTTGGTTTATAAATCAAAATAATTATCAATGAAAAGATGCTTCATTTGTTTGGGCTACTTATCTGTTTATCTTTATTGTATTTAAAGATGGAGGGACATTGAATATAAATTTTGAAAATTATCCTTTTAAAAGGTATCATTCAACAGAAATGACATTCAAGTTGCATCTACTTTTAAGTCCTGCACATTTCTCTCAATTTTCGATGCGTTAAGTTCAATCTAATAAAAAATAATCTAAGAACTATTTAGTAAGAAGAAACAAATTAACTTGTTTTTAAACAAATAAAGTGCCCATGATAATAGATATTACTAGAATTATTGTCTTTTTGATTTTTTATTCAGATTGCTAATTTCGATAGCATATACCTGACGGAACCCCATATAACTATCCCTCCCCTCGGGTTCATATAGGATCCAATAAGATCCGTCATAGAATTGATTGGGTCGGATAGAACAAATCACATCGATGATAATAATTTCAGAGTAACTAATTTTTAAAAATAAATCAATGAAATGATTTGTTAAAGATTGTTATTATCCACGTGTGATACTTATTCCCGGTACGTCGACACTTTCATCGCCAATACAATTTCGTCGCAGTCAAGATTTTTCTATTGTTTCAATTATTGAATTTATTTGTAATATAAAACTTTCAATGACAACACAGTGGAGAATCAATAATTGTACAACAACAATATGTTCAAATTCCATTCAATTAGATCCAATAATTAATACAAAATTCAGTGAATTATATATTCCATCAAAGACACTTCCATATGGAACATATCAATTAGAATTAACAGTTACAATGAATAGTTCATCACATTATTCAACATCATCATTTGTTTATGTACAAATAGTTGCATCAAATATAATCGCAAATCTTGTTCAATTCGGAACATCAATGATTACAAGTGGATATAAACAAGATCTTTTACTTGACCCGGGAAACTATTCTGTTGATCCAAGTGAATATGTATTCAATGCAAGTGTAAGAAGTGAAATAGTTCGATATATTTGAACGTTGTTGATGTTTTGTTATTTAAATAGAATTGGAAATACAAATATTATTGTCGAATATTTGGTTTATATATGTTCCCAAATTTTCAAGGCTCATTAATACCGATTGGTAATACAACAATTGATCCGTTAAATCCATCATGTTTCATAAATCGAACAGGTAATTAGTTAGGGGAATTCAAACGTGGTGACGGAGGCATCTTATTTTCTTACAACAGGCTTAAGAGAATTTTCTTTCTTATGGAGTAATAGAGGATACGAAGTTTTATTTAACGAATATAATCTTCTCCATTCTTTTGGGTTAAACGGAATCAGAAAATTTTATTCCGTGTGTAATAAATACAAACAGTCTAATTCTTTTTGCACCACCCGTCATATAAAATTTCATATTTGTAAAGATAATCAAACATCTTGGAAATTTAACTCAATAAATTCCTCGATAACAATTGTCGCTAATTCCTTACAATCCAATCGAACATATCAATTTATGGTTTATATGGAACATCAACAAAATACTTCACTTCAAGCAACTGGTTATGTACTTGTTAATGTCGAAAATACTTATCCACATATGGTTCTTATTGGGTAAATTTATAGTTTCTGTTTTGAAATCAAATGAATATTTTACTTTTTAGTTGTGTTATTTCGACATTATGTTCACCAGATTTAGAATTTCAACTTGTTAATCCAACAACACAAGTTGCTCTATTTTCAGTTTGTAATGGAAATTGTACAACAATTCAGAATATTACATGGAATATTTATCAAGGACAAATGAATTCATTTTCAAATTTAACCACATGGATTTTGTTTAATCAGACAGTTTACGAAAATATTTGGCTTTTTGGTACAAACACAAGTAATTTTACTGCAACAAACCAGTTATTTCTGTCAAATCCACAAATAAATCGTTGGCGATTTGAAGTTGTTTATTCATTTTTACAAGAAACTAGTTCCAGTTCGTTAAATATTGTTCTAACGAAATCTCCATCTAATGGTTCTTGTTCAATTAATCCTCTAAACGGTACAACAAATAGTTTATTTGATGTTTTATGTTCAAATTGGTTTGATGATAATGATATCAAAGATTATTCTGTTTATGGTTTGTTTAAATTTGATTTTAATTTCAAAATAGTTTTATGTTTTTTTCATAGTTTGGAGAAATGATCTAGCTGAGAAAATGATCGTTACTTATTCTACAATATCATCATTTCAAGTTCGATTACCACCTGGAGATGATCAAACATCATTACTTCATGTATTTGTTCATATTCGAAATGAATTCGACTGTATTACAGAACTCAATCTATCGTCTGTTACTGTCATGATAGATTTAGTCGGACTTACTGATTTTATAAATAATATCCAAAATATATCAAGTGAATTAATAAGAAATCCAATAGCTCAATTACTTGCTAGTCAAAATCAAAATATAGTTGGGCAACTAATTATTTCTCTCTCACAACAATTGAATAAAATGAACAGTGAAAATATTGATACAGCTATTTTAAGTAAATCATGAGATAATAAAGTTAAAATTGTTTTTTTTTTGTTCTTTTCTTGATAGATGGTATTTCAGCTACAAGTATTTCTGTTTCAACATTAGGAAATCAAACTTCTCAAGTGGTGAGTTCATTTGATTTGACTTTTATTTTCACTTTTTTCTTCATTAAATTAGTCTTCAATACCATTGAATGAATCAGCTTTAGTTGAATATAATAAACAACTAAATTCTCATGCAAATAGTCGAGAATATTTGATGACATTCATAACAAAACTGGCAATAACAACATCCAATAGTGTTAAACTACAGGCGACAGCATTAGCACAAATAACTGAAACAACAAATGAATTAACAAGAACAGCTTTAGTTCGATTTCATTTGTTTGATTTTGCTTTTTGAAAAAACAAAAATTCTATTTTAGATGATCGCGTCGGAGAGATGTTATCAATTAGCCATGGCTTTATATCCGCTGCGTACAACAATTCCATATGAAGATGTTCAGCTATCAGCAACTCAACTTATTCAATGTACTGCTAATGTTTTGACTGTAAGAATATTTTCATAATAATTAAAATCAATTATTTAAAAGTCTACAGAAAAGTGTTCTTTCTATTAATGATGGAGGGTGTGGGTGGGTCTGTGATGGGTATAAGGGTTACATCTTCATTCGCATAAGTTTCTTGTACATTTTGAAATGATACTGATATTTTTAGGCTGTTAATGGACCATTACAACAACGAACAACGATTTTAGATTTAGATTATTTACGTGCCACAACATTTCCCGCAGACTATGATACTGATCTCGAATCTTCATGGTCCAATCCAAGTACTTTTCTTGACGAACTGAATAATGATTTTATTATATGATCTTTTAGATTTATTTGCTGATGGAAATGATTTTTCATGGGAAACAATAGAAAGAAATCGAAATATTTATTATCAAAAACAATTAGCAAATCAGATAATCAATCAAATGAACGAAATCATCGCATTATTATCTTCATCATTAAATATTCATTTAAATATTGGACAGCAGTCTATTTTTGATACATCTCAAGTATTTATGTCATTAGAAAGCAAATCAATTGAATCTCTTTCAAATAAACTTTTCCAGCAAATGGTAAATGCTCAGATTCAATTGCCAGAAAATCTTAATTTAAATCTCAGTAATAATTCAAAGATTTCTATTCGAGTGAGTTGACTATGTTCTGTTTGGAATCATTTCTTTCACTTGATTTCTCTTTTTAGACAATGGTTACACCATTAGCGCCTTTTGGTAATACAACACTCCAATCAAATACAAATCTTTCAACTTGTGTATCATTTTCAATTCTTGGTCAAAATCAAAATGAAATATCTGTTCAAACAGATCTTAATCGTCCTATTGAAATCATTATTCCTCGTGATTCAAATTTAATAATTCCATCAATGATTCTACAAAATGTGACATCAATGAATTCGACTCCTCATAATCAATTATTTAATTTTCAGTATATCAATATTACAAGTACACTACCGATTTCAGTTCATTTAGAAATTCAATCTTTGAATTCCAGTCTTGCTTATTTATTTATTTATAAATTTGATCAAGCACCTCAATTAAATAGTTCAATCAAACAAATCGATGGATCACAACTTTTTTGTCCTTCAGGTAAATTATCTTTATTTCAATTATTTCATTTATCAATTTGATTTCGATATAGATTTGACAAATGACAGTATTTATGAGTATTTTCTTGATAATCAACAAACATTTGGTCATCGATCTCTTATATTTGGTTTACGAGAATTAAATTCAACAGAAATGAGTGATGTATGTTCAAATTCTTCCATCACTTATCTTCCAATAACAAATGAAAGATTTAATTTTACATCAAATTATCAATTAAGAATCTATACATCAGGTTGTTATTATCTTGATAATAATAATCAATGGAAATCAGAGGGATTAATAGTTGGTTCTTTAACAAATCATAATCAAACTCAATGTTTTTCCACACATTTAACAAGTTTTGCTGGTGGTCTGGTTATTTTACCTGAACCAATTAATTGGAATTATGTTTTTGCCAATGCAGATTTTAATCGAAACAAAACTATTTATTTAACAGTTATTTGTGTATGTTTAATGTACATCATATTGACAATTTATGCACGTTATAAAGATAAAAAAGATCTTGAAAAATTAGGAGTTACACCATTACCCGATAATCATCAATCAGATGAATATGTTTATGAAATTATTGTTTTTACTGGTCAAAGAAAAGATGCTGGAACAAGTTCGAATGTAAGATTTTGCAAAAAAAAGGAATATTTGATTAAAATATATATTCAATAGGTTCATTTCGTCATATATGGTGAGGAAAATGAGACACATGTTCGTACATTAGCGGGTCCTCATCGAAAGATTTTACAACGCGGTGGTGTTGATGCATTTGTAATGAGTGTTCCAAAGTAAAATTTCATTCTAGAATTATATTTTACTAATAGAGTTAAGTTTCTATTTAGAACCTTGGGATTATTGAATTGTATTCGTATATGGCATGATAATACAGGTGAAGGTTCGTCATCATCATGGTTTCTTAAATATATAATTATTCGGGATTTACAAACAATGGAAAAATTTCATTTTATTTCTCAACGATGGTTTGCAGTGGAAAAAGATGATGGAAAAGTAATTAAAAAAGAGTCCGCCAGATGACCTCCCAAGCCTAAATGGATGATCATTGCATGAAACTCTTAAATCCAAAATATTAAGTTTTTCTAACAGACCTATAAAAGGTGCCAAAAAAGGAATAGGTGGTTAGTAGTCAATAGTCCTCATCAATCCCATATTTTACCTCCATCCTCGTCACTTCTCAAAATCCTAAAAAAACTAAAGCTGTATTCTGAACGTATGGATAGAACATGTCTAGGTGGTGATCTGACGGACCCTCTCTAAATACTTTATCATATATACTTTAAATATAATCTTGAAATAGATTGAACGGATTTTACCAGCTGCAAGTGAAATAGAAAAACATGAATTTTCTTATTTATTAACAAAACGTACATATCATAGTATATCTGATAGTCATTTATGGTTTTCAATATTTTCTCGTCCACCATCAAATAAATTTACACGTGTACAACGATGTACATGTTGTTTTGTTTTATTTTTTGTTTCAATGTTTTTAAATATAATGTATTATGATTTATCAAATCAAGCAAAAAGCAATAATTCAACAAATTCAGCCAGTTTATCGGTTGGTTCTCTTCAGATCAATTCTCAACAAGTATTGTTTTTGCCTTTGATTTCGAATATAATTCTATATTTTATAGATAATAATTGGTATTATTGTTGAGTTCTTTGCATTCATTCCAAGTCTTTTAATTGTACAATTATTTCGACGTCTTCGATCTCGTCAAAAACAGCTTTCACCATTACATCAAGCATTATATAAAATTAAACCACACTTACAGAGGTTTGCATAGTTTCAAATCAAATATATACAAATGTTTTTTTTTGCTTTAGTCAAACTGATGTTGATCAAAAGAAAAACAATCGAAAATCTTCATTAACATTTCCTTGGTGGTGTATATTTATTGCATATGGACTTTGCATAATACTCGTTGGCCTCTCGATTCTATTTATAATTGCTCGTGGAATCGAGTTTGGTGATGAGAAAACTCAACAATGGTTAATATCAATTTTAAGTGGATTTTTCTCATCGATCTTTTTCTCCCAACCAATAAAAGTAAATGTTTGATTATTTCTCATTTAAATTGAAATGTATATTTCTATTGAAGATACTAAGTTTGGCAATAATCTTTGCTTGTTTTTGTCGAAGATCGAATGATGATTACGAAGCAAACGAATTTTTAGATAATAATCAAGTTGATTTAAATAATGATGAAGAATATCTTCATTCGATTAAGGTTTGTATTTTATTATTCAGATATAATAATTGAACTAAATCAATAATTATAGAAGAGATCTTTGTTTACTTATCGTCCACCAGTTCGTGCAAATCGTTTAAACGAAAGTGAAGTTATTTATGCTCGTGATCGACGTTTACAAGAAATCTATATGTGGTCAGTTATTCGAGAAATAGTTCATTATTTATGGTTTTTCTCACTTCTTTCTATTTTAACTTATACACATCGTGATTTAAATTCATTTAATCAAGTTGATCATTTACAAAAATATTTTCTAAATTCAAGACAAATCAATTCAGATTATACAACAGTTTGTTTCTCTTAGAAAATCGTTGATATTAAATAATTTAGATTTTAGGTTTCAACAATAGATGATTATTGGAATTGGTTAGAAAATAGTTTTGTTGACAATATTCGTGCTCAACAATGGTATAATGGTGATGCACCTCGAAATTTGAGTGGTTATATTAACGATAAAACAAATCGATTCATTGGATGGGCAACAATGAGACAATTACGTGTTAAATCTCAATTATGTCTTGCTAACAATGAAATTATTTTAACATGTCAGTATGATTATAGTTTATCAAATGAAGATAAACATTCCTATCAACCAGGATGGTTAAATGAAACCATAGAAACGTATAGTTCATCCATTAGTCAATCATTTCAATATAAATCAAGTAAAGATTTAGATACATATACTTATGTTGGAGATTATGGAAGTTATGAAGGTGGTGGTTATGTTTATGAATTTCGAGGTCGTTTAGTTGATCTTCAAACTAATGTATCTCAACTTTATCAATTAGGATGGATTGATGATAAAACAAGAGCTGTGATTATTCAATTAACTTTATATAATCCAAATGTTCAATTATTTACTTCAGTTACTTTTCTTGCAGAATTTTTATCATCATCTGGAGTTTATCCAACAGCTCGTTTTGAACCATTTAATTTTTATGGTAAATCCATGTTTTTTTTCTAACAGAAAATTAAAATGTTTTTGTTTAGCATTTACATCAAAATTTCAATTAATTGTTATAATTCTTTACATGTTAACGATAATATATCACATGTGGATAGAGATTCGATTATTATTTGAACTGAAACGAAAATATTTTTATCGATTCTGGTCATATATGGAAGTTGGAATAATTGTATGTGCATGGACAACTGTTGGAATTTACATTTGGCGATATCATCAATGTGAACGTATTGGTGAATTATTTAAAGAAACAAATGGATATGTTTATATTAATTTACAATTCGCATCTTATGTTAATGATATTTTAACAATTCTATTGGGTTTTTCTTGTTTTTTTGGTACAATTAAATCCATTAAACTTTTACGTTTTAATCAACGTTTTTGTTTATTTATTGAAACACTTAAATACGCAAGAGCAGAACTAATATCATTCTCAATGATGTTTTCAATTATATTTATAGCATTTCTTTCTCTATTTTATTTATTATTTAGTGGAAAAATTTCTTCTTGTTCAAGTTTATCAGACACGGCACGTATGTTATTTGAGATAACATTAATGAAATTTGATGCAGATGAATTAATTGAAGCATCAGCATTTCTTGGTCCATTTTGTTTTAGTCTATTTATTATCTTGGTGATATTTATTTGTATGAGTATGTTTCTTTCAATAATTAATAATAGTTTTCGTCTTGCAAGAGAAAATCTCGATCCAAATAATCAACAGATCTTTTCATTTATGTTGAAAAAATTTCAACGATGGACAGGTACTTTCATAGAATTTAATTAAAGAGAAACAATTTGTATTATTTTTTGTATTTAGGTTTAAAAAAAATAACAGATGACAATATTCATGAAGAACGAGATACAATAATGCGTTCAGAACATTTGCGTCCAATTGAAAAATTTTCAGAAAAAATCGATCAACTCTTAGATGCAATCAATCGAGTATACTTTACTTTTTTTTATATCATAAATATATTTCTTATTTTTTAGTTATATATGTCACAAAGAATGGAAAGAGAAAGATTAAAAGATATTACTATTTAATATTGAATATCAAATAAAGATAAAAGACGATTTATATTTTCTTGCTTTTTTTGTATTCGTTTCTCTCTGTTGTTTGTTTTAGTACAGTTAATATTTATTATTTGTGTCCGATGGATGTGAATACTGAATTCATATATAGGTGGTGGTGAAACAGATGTAGCAGTAACCGTAGAAACCATTTACTATATAAAGCGACGCGTTATGAAAAGTAAAGAATGAATTTTTTGTTAGAAACGAGAAAAATAATAAAACAATCAGTCATCTTGAATGAAAAGAAAACAACCAGCTTGAGAGTGTGGGTGTTGGTATCTTCTTTATCTACAGCCATACCCTCAAGAAGAAACAAAAAGCCTTTTTTTAAAGACATAAGATAGCGTCTTTACTCTCGAAAAGAGACAGAAATATCATTAATACAAAAAACAATTTCATTGGATGTCCAATAAAATATTTTTTCTTCACTTCTTTATATATTTTTATATAAAGCATTAATAATATGTCTATGCCAAAAATGACATAACTGAAACAATTTGTAATATATTTTAATTAAAAAAAGTGCACATAGATAAATCATGAGCAGATTGCACTCAAAAGCTATTTGCTAAATTATTGAAAAAAACTAATATATCATACAACTGTTTCTCTTATTTTTTGTGTTGTTTTAACACAGACTAGTTGACAACATAAACCATACATCAAGAGGAAAAGAACGAAATCCGATCATTTTGGATTCCAACGATTTCAAAAGATGCCAATCATCGAAATGGATTCCGATTGGGTCCCGTAAATTCTTTTTTATCCCATAGCTCTCTTAGATCTGTACACTCATACTGAATGGAAGATGGAGGAGTTAGACTGTTTCTCGGCTCACGTTAGAAATAATTTAATCATATACAAATCCATCTAACGATTGTTACTGATTACTTATTTCAATTATACTTCGCGAGAAACAGCATTCACTGTGTAGACACGTGGGACCTCCTCCCCAAGAATTATGAGAAAAAATGTGTCGTTTCATGAGTGAAAACAGACCATATATGGAGAGTCAGAGGTACAGATGGGTGTGGATATGTGTGGGTGGGCGTAAGTGTGGACTTGGGTATCGGTGTTAGTATTCTGTTTTATTAATATCCACATCGATCCACACCCACCCTCAGTAAGTGAAGGAGGATTGATGACAAGAACTCTCCTATTTAGACATAACGTCATATATGGAAAAAGCGGTGTGGGTGGGATGTGATTGAGGACAAGAGAAGAGATGCTCATGCGCGCCCACACCCACATCCATACTCTCACCCACATTGAAATCCACAGTCATACCCTCACCCACACCAATATCCGCAGCTATACCCACACTCTCAAAATATCTTGTTTTTCGCTTATATATATATATACATTTATAGAAAGATGATCAGCATCAAGATTAAAAAATGTTTAAAACTTTTTTTTTAATAATGAAACTCATGAAATTATTTTGTGAACGATAATTTCTTTAAGAAAAAAAGATAAGATAGAAGATTTGTTGATAAACTTTTATACATAAATGAAAATAAAATATTCCTTTGGAATATTGAAGACTGGATGAACATGATTGAAAAGTTCGTGCAACATTTTCTAGTAGGAAATCAGTTGTCGTAAAGATTATTACCAATATCTAATGTTATTAAACACGATCATCAAGAACTTTGAAAAGCTTTCTCAGCTTTGAAATGAAAGATATTTTGTCTTTTTATAAATTTAAACAGAATATTTCTTATATAAGTATATGATGAGCAATGAAGATATCGATAATCAGCAATATTCGTCAAATCAGTTTCAACAAAATTTTATTTGATATTGAAAACTGAAGAAGAAATTCCTTTTCCTGTTTATGAAAAATATCTGGAAAAAAATGTTAAACAATTGATTTATCAAATTTCAAACGATCATGAAGAAATTATCTAATAGGTTGCGTTCAATTTTTTTCTTTTCAATTTAATAAAAATTAATTGAAATACATTGATCATTATTTTTCCGCACCAAAATACTTTGATAGACGTGAATCAAGTGTAGCATAATCCTTATATCTAAAATAAAAATATATAGTTAAGATCTAGAGGGTGGGTGTGGGTGTAGTCACGATAGAAAATGAACTGCATACCCATACTCACACCCACCCACAGCCACACCCTAACTTCACATCTATGCGTAGAAAAAATTTTCTAGCTTTTGTTCTACCAGATTTCTGCTGGCTATTCTGTACGTGGTTTTTCTTTACGGAAAACCAAAAGAGAGAGAGATAGAGCATGTCTTCTACTCAAGCATAAGGATACTATACTCTCTCTCAAGATGGAATGACATGGCAACTACGATTCTAAGTAAAGATAAGAGTCTACTGGATTATATTTATTCCTACTGGCATCGTTTTAACTGTCATCTAGAAAGTGCAGCGGATCCTCTAGAATTTCAACAATCCTAGCAAGCATTTAAAGCAATTACTGAACCTAAAAAAATATGGTACCGCTCACTAGGATTCAGAAAGAATAGTTTCTTTCCTAACAGATTAGCTAAACGAGCTCAACGTGTCTTAAAGGCCTGGGGGATTTTTCAAAGTACTCAAAAGGAGCAACTGAACTACTTCAAAGAAAATATACTGTAGCTTAATAAATTTGTATTAAATTTTTTTCTTCAACCACCTTGAATCATAATAATAAATAATTGAGTTGGTTGTTGTTCATCATTAATAACTAAAAGGTATAAGTATATAAAATCTAATATCTCATAGACAGAATATATATACCGACAAATTCAATATTAACTAAAAGAAAAATGAAATAAAATGAAATGAAATATATCTCTTAATACATATATCTTTACTGAACATAATACTGGATAAACTAGAGGCGAATGAAATAGTTTAATATGCATGTCTGATGTTTAACCTCTGAAAATTCATCACTTTAGAGAGATGTCCCTAGCTTATATATGTATATATTCTTTCATGCTCTCAACGTATATGTTTTTCTTCAATTTATTCCTCTCTTTTTCTCTATTCTTAACTAGTATAAAAGTACATATACATATATTTTCTTCACTCTAAATAAAATAGGTGCTCTACTGAACTCCCAAAAAAGGTTTCGTCGTGACGAAAAAGTCTCCAAACATGTTCAAAGTTTGAAAAACACAATAAAAAATTCTACAAAACCATTAAAGGATCTTCCCGTGTGTCGGGGGGGAAGAACCTTCACCTACGAAACCTTTTTTTAAGTTCAGGACACATAAAAAAGGTTTCGTATTGAACTACACAAGAACATTAGGGTTTAGTACGAAACTATCAGGGTTTTAAATGAAACACTATAGGTTTCGCATTTTACTACGAAACCTTTTTTATGTGTCCTGAACTTAAAAAAAGGTTTCGTAGGTGAAGGTTCTTCCCCCCCGACACACGGGAAGATCCTTTAATGGTTTTGTAGAATTTTTTATTGTGTTTTTCAAACTTTGAACATGTTTGGAGACTTTTTCGTCACGACGAAACCTTTTTTGGGAGTTCAGTAGAGCACCTATTTTATTTAGAGTGTTCTCCTAACTGTTTGTATAATGATAAATCAAATGTATTATTCTCGTAAATATCTAAAGTCGTTATCATTTCTCTTTTTCTTTATTTTGTGAACGCTTCATGGCACAAAAAATTAAATACAAAAAAAAAAAGAAATGTTTCTCGTTCATTTTAATTGTAGTAACACGCGTTGAATACTTGTTTGAGCTTGAATACTATATGGATGCGCAGGAGACAAACAGTAGTAATAGATGCTCGCCGCTTTTTTATATTCTAACAATGCTTTTGCTAAGTCGTTTCTCTTCTCATAAACAGTACCTTTATTGTAAAATGTCATTCCAACCACAGAATGTCGAGAAGGAATCGAATTACTGTAGATTCGGAGCGCGAGATCATGTTCTCTTAATGCCAGATTAGACTGGCCAAGATTATCATAAACGATACCGATATTATTATGTGTAGAAGCCAACCAAGGATGGTTGGTAGGAAGATGTCTTTGGCGAATATCTAATGTTCGTCGCAGATACGTCAGGGCTTTATACCAGTTCTTCATCTCGATGTAGGCAACACCGATATTATTAATATAATTAGCTGTGCGAAAGTGATTCTCGCCAAATATTCGCCTGCATATTGTCAAAGCCTTGTTGTACGATTCAAGTGCTCGCCTGTAATTTCTTAGTCTGCAATAGGTGTTTCCAATAGAATTGTGAGTAAATGCAAGAGCCGAGTCATCGGATTTCAATATTTGCATCTCGATTGCCAGTGTCAGCTGAAAAATTTCTAAGGCGGACGGATACACGCCTCTTTCTATAGCTATAGTTCCAAATGAATAGGAGCATACAGCGATATTTAAGTAATCGTCAGGAGGAAGTTGTTTTAGCTGACGATGATAATATTCCGCAGCCTCGTCCAGTTTGTCTATATCTCTGAGTAAATTAGCAAATGAGATAAGATCCGTCTCACCTACAGAATATTCATTTTTTAAATAATCAGAAAGCACTTTTAGATCATCATCATAATCACTGCACAAAGTCAGTCGAATGGTCCACACTCCATTTTGCTTACGATGGATACTTTTGAGACGAAAGATCGACCCCACCATGAACAAAACTTCAACTTCTTCCGAAAAGCAGCTGAACGACGTGACTTCGGCGAAAGGCTTGATACCATGCATTTGAGGATTGGCCTCTATGTGGAATAGCACGCGTTCGTAATCGATATTTTCAGGAATAAATGATAGAGCCAACTGCCGATCGAAAGTTGTTGAAAGAAATGAGTTCATTGAAATTAATTGGCTTTCTGAATGTTTTAATATTTCGAGTTCATCCTTGCCTATATATTGACCTCGATAAACAATCACTTGAAAAGTACACTGATTATTCTTTAGTTGTTGCCAAAGATCCCGAATGATAGAGCGAAGGAGGAAGAGCATATGAATGTCTTGTAGACGAAGTGCTTTGTTGAGTACGCGGTACAGAAAAGTGTCTTTCGTGTACCACCAGAATATTTGATCACAAGAATAAACTTCCTGAAACGTTCGAAGGACGCGTTGAGTATGCTGATCGTTGTAGTATTTTTGTTGTAGTACATGAATTAATTCTTTTTTGTCGGTTTCGCCGGATCTTAGTCGTAGAAGATGATTTATCAACAATTGGGAGCTCACAAACGCTCCGTTGAGTCCACTAGTCGATTGTTCATGTACAAATTTGCTGTTGAACGTCGTGAATGGGAACGATTCGTTGATTTCGATATAGTTGCTCATTTTATTTCGATCCAGTACGAAGGACTAAACCACTTTCACTCATCAATACTGTTCAAATCTGAAACTTTTGAAAGACGTTTTCATGTAGTCTTACTTTTAAATAAATGAAAATAAATGTAGAGTAAATGTGAGAATCATATATTTTAACAATAACGGAAATTTTCGATTATTATCAACCAGAAACACAATCAAGAGTGTACAAATATAATGAAGGTACAACAGTACAAAGAAATAATAATATTACAGCCACAATTATATATATATACATAAAACGTAAACATTTACATGAATATAAATGACAAACGATGTTGATTTATCATCAAAAATAAATGAATAATTTAATAATTTAATTCGATCTTAATAATTGAATTATAATTTATTTCATGTAACTGTATACGTACGAACAACTCATTACGAATATCTACTGTGTAATAATAATGTATGAAAATTAATAATAATGAAAACATGAGATTTTAATGTAATTTTAAATAAATAAAAATAAATATAGAATATGTAATGAAAATCCTGATTTGATATTAAATATTATGACATAATTTGAGGAAGATGATTTAAAACTATCTTTACTTTTAGTTTAATTGATTTATTTTTTAAATTGTGTATTGAAAGAGTGTCTAACTTCCATTGTATTGTCTCTTTGTTTTTAGTGTATGATGGATGAATATCTTCAATCGGTGTGGTAATGTTATATGCAAGGCAACAGTTGATTTACTAGAGTTAGTTTTTTATATTTTATGATTAGATATAAAGATTAAATTTTAATGTAGTTTGTATATTTATGATGTGATATACGTAGCGAAGCGACGTGATGTTTTTTCTTTTCTCCCCTCTGTTCGTCTTTCGAATACATGTATAATTTATTTAGTATATTCTTCACTACATGTAAAGATATATAGAAGTTTTGTTCGTTCTGCATATAGTTAAAAATATTGTCAATTGTTTCTGCCATGTGGAATGAGATATATGCTTTATGTGATGTTTTTATTTTTTATTTTGAATACAGCTCTTATTTCGTCCTTTCTCTTGCTCGTTTTGATATTTTTGTTTTATGATGCGTTTTACGTATCATGACTGTATTTTATGAAATTAATGATCAAACGAATCGTTTTCTTTGATGCATTCCTCTTCTTTCTATATATCCTCTATGTATATACAAGAGTTGATTGTGTATGGTTTATTTTTTTAACTAGTTATTCGTCGTTTATTTGTTTTCAAGTGCACAGTCATCAAGTTTATTATCAACTGATCTTTGATCATTATTTAATTAAGGTAAGAACTGCTTTGATTATTTATAATGGGTTTAATAATTATTTGCGAGTGTTTTTAATAGTAACGAATTTTTTATTTTTTTGTTGTTTCGTGTTATAGTGTATATTTTGTGTATATGTAAAAGGTAAAGTTTAAATATATATGTTTATACTTTATTAATTGCGTTATTTATGGTTATGATACATATAAGGGTGTGGGTGTGGGTGGGGGTATCTATTTCATTGATCACTTACAGTCACACCCACATCCATCCATACCCTTACCCACACCCACACCCACACCCACACCCTTTGGATTTTATTTGATGACAAAGAAGAAAATTGAATTTTAATGATTTTTCATATAAACTTTTTATTCAAAATCAAAAATAAAGAAAATGTTAAATTTTAGTATTTGACATTGAAATGAATTAAATTTGTCTTTGAAAAATAAAACAATTCTCTTTGATATGAAAAATGAAATTTAAATTGTGGATCATTTCATAAGTTTTAGTATTAATATTTTATTTTATTTTAATTTCTTGTTCATTTTTCTTCCGTAATTCTTGTTTTTACTTTTCATCTAAATGAAAATGTTCATGGGTTTATTTTGAAATTTCAAATACAATTGCTTTTTACTGATCTCATTTTGACGAATCAATCTTCAATTCAATTTTTCTTATCAAACTTTTATGAAACATTTCTTTTCAAATATTTTTTATTTCATTTCAATTCAAATTATAAAATATTTTCTTTTCTTGTCTTCTATAAAATTCGATAAAAATTAACAAAAGATGGAAAATTTAACATTTATTTAATCCATTTTTTTCATTGATTCTCAATAAGAAAATTTTAGTTTTCTTTTATTTCTCGATCATTTATTCAATAAAAAATTTATTTTCTTTGTTTCAAAATTAAAATTTCGTTCATAAACTTATTTCAAATTTTTCAATTCGATGATTATAATAATCAGCAACATAAAAAGTTCCTTCATCATCAAATGATAAACCCATGGGACAATTCAATTGATTTCCTTTACCATTTCCACCAACAAGAATTTCGCCTTCTTCTTTTTGTTCATACCAACGCATTACTCGATTATTCCCATAATCTGCCACATAGATTTGACCCAAATCGTCAAAAATCACTCCATGAGGTAAAGATAGTTGGTTTTAGAATAAAAGAATATGATGAAAAATGCCTGCTTTCATTTCTAAAACATAGATAATATTTTAAGTCAATATAATTGAAATATAACAGATGCATTTATTCACATATCGATAAATGGAAATTTAATATTCCATTCATTTCTTCTAATCGTTCTGATTTTACGTTAGTCTATTTTCACAGGAGATGAAATTCATCGAATCGATTGTCGTTGAATAGATTTATCAACGAAAGTCCATCGAAACTGCATAAAATCAATCTTATAGGCAAGAATTGTATTTTCAATGATTAGCCTATGACACTAAATCAATTGATTCAAAGAAATTTTATTTATTTACATTTATTTATTTTTTCAACAATAAAAATCGAAATTTTATCAAATTAAATTTTAATTTTTTTCATATTTTTGGACTCGATGATTTTCATGATCAACAACATAAAGATTTTCTTCATTATCGAATGCTACACTCATAGGACGATCCAATTGATTTGGCTGTTTTCCTCTTCCATTTCCGCCAACAACAATTTCACCTTCTTCTTTTCCTTCACACCAACGCATTACTCGATGATTCCAAGAATCTGCCACATAGATTTGATCCAAATGATCTACAAAGACTCCTTGAGGATGATACAATTGTTTGAGACTATTTCCTTGGCTATTTCCACCAGCAACAATGATTCCTTCTTTAGCATCTTTTTTCCATTTCATTACACGATGGTTTCCCCAATCTGATATATAAAGAGAATAATCTTTATCAATAAAGATATTAGTAGGATGATTAAGTTGATTAAGATGATTTCCTTTACCATTTCCACCTGCAACTAATTTACCTTTTTTATTTCCTTGTTTCCATCGTCTTACTTCATGATTCCAATAATCAGAAACATAAATAAATCCATTTATGTCGATTGTTAAACCCGCACAGTTAATATTTGAAATAATAATTTGTTGATTTGTTAGATTTTGATTAAAATATCGAACTACTCGTCTGTTTCCCGTATCAGAAATAATAAAAGAGTTATTTTCTTTATCAAAAATCATATCTGTTGGCTTACACAATGGATTATTTCGATTTCCTTGTACATTTTCACCCGTAATGATTTCACCAATATTTGAATTCAATTGCCATTTAACAATACGACTATTCCGAGAATCAGCAATATAAATTGATTTTTTATTATCAATAATCATCCCTTCAGGCCAATACAGTTGATTTAACTCTTGTCCATATCCATTTCCTCCAGCAACAGTAATTCCAAATCGTTGAAATTGATTCTTTTTTGTTTGAATTTGTTCTAAAACAAAAGATTTTCTTTTTATTCAAATTTGCGTTAATCAAATAAAATTTAATTTTCATAAAAAGTTTAATTTAAGAAAAGCATTTTTATGATTTAATAAAAATAATTGATGAAAAAGTTCTATCTCAGTTTTAAAGATGATAAAACTATTTTTTATTTAATGAAACATACTTTGTTTTATTTGATATTGAGTTGATATTTGATTTGTTGTTGTTGGATTCTTTAATGTAGTTGCTGTATTATTTGTAAAAGGATTTAATTGATACCTATCTGTAGCCATGTTTATATGAAAGAATATGTTTCGAATAACAAGCACAATAAATATCCTACAAATAAAATAAAATGTATTTATTAGTCGAGTGTGTTTCTTTGTAGTAGTCTTATTAATTATAAATCTCAACTACGTTATTCATTGAGAATGCATTCTTACGCTATTGTATTTTGTTAATAAAACTAGGGTGTAGATGGTGGTATTGAATTATTCTACATATACAGATCTTCGAATAAATGAAAGAAATAAGTTTAAAAATTTCTATGACATAGAAATGACTGATTCTAATGAACAAAATTGATAAATATGTTAAAAGGATTAATGGAAAGATCTTACATGAAGATTTGATTGTTATATAAATGATCTATCTAATATTATTTGATTATTCATGACAAAATGATAGTTCTACTATAAAAATATTAGATCAATCGATTCTTTTTTTTACTTAGATTTGTCTATATTGACTTGCTTCTTAAAGATTGTTTCGTAATCGAATCATTTTTGATATGGAAGAACAGATCAAATAGAGCTGACATGATATACATTCGTTTTGTTCTCTTTTATAATTAGAATAGATATAAAAATGGACATTCACATTTAAACTATGAGTTTGTTATGATCTCTATTAGTATTAGTTTAATAACTTAGAATGAATTGTTATGGATATATCTGATTAGATTTGAGCTTTATTGACTTTTTGATTATAAATTTAGTTGGCGATGATAGAATAAGTGAACTTCTACTTTGATGAAAACTAAACTAATTCATAATAATTAAAGGTCGAAAATAGCTGATGCATTTAAGATGAAATTGTCAATCGTTTTGACAGTATGGCATCTATTACACATAATGGAATGATTCTCATGAATGAACGTTTAATTATAGTTAAAATATCAATATTTCAAATCGATGTTTCTTTGGAGTGTACATAACACGGATATATATGAAATGGTAGAATCGTGTTTTAAAACGAAGGTATATTCGCAATATAAAGAAATATCTCAAAATCTACATGACACTAACTTTTGTTTTGAAGATTAATTCAAGAATGTTTTTGAAAGATTCAGTGATTTTAAAGAGTTTCTAATGTTCATAACTCGTATATACATACAAAATTTCAACTCTAGATTTCTCTGATCAATCTATCCAAAGATACTATGATCAAAGTATATCTTTCGACATTATAGTTTCTTATGTGAGTTTTACATTGAAAAGTCAAGTTATGAATAAATACGTCAATAAACCTTCATAAATTATACAAAGTAACGAATCAATCTGTTGTTAATCTGCTAATTCAACTTAGAACATTGTTTATAATTGTGTGAAATATTGATCAGAGGAAATATTGATATTAGTATGCAGTATGAAAACAGTCAAAAACTTACCACGTCAACAATAATTTAAATCGAATGAATTATGTGCTGGAATTCTTGATAATATTTTTTACTTTTTAATGTATGTTGGAAGTGAGTGATGAAAGTACTTTATTAAAATGATATGAAGACTTTATTTCGATCAAGGAAACAAACAATGAGAGAGAGAGAAGAATATGCTTTCCAAAGCAAATGCAAAGTCTTTATATACTCATATGTATATGACTCACGTGATGTCACGGCAAGTACCATGGCAAATGACGCAGTTATGTTTTCGTAAGTGCCAAACAAAAGGTAAAGTTGGTAATTCCAAAAAAATAATCAAAATTCAAAAGCAACAACAACATGGAAATATACAAAGTAACCAATTAGTAATGTTTTTTTTTTCTTTTCATGAAAAGGAGAACAACACTGCATTGTTTCATTTGAAACCATGTGAACAAACAAAATAAAATAAAATTGACTTTCTATGTCGCTGCTGTTATAAGAAGACATTTTCATACTTTCCGCGAAAGAATATAAGCTGTAAAACACAGTCGACGTCAGTAACAACAATGAATACATCAGATTCAAGCAATAAAAGACTTCACTTTCTATGAGTTCTACATCAAGAATATCTCTATAATTATATATGTATATATATGAACATAGTTGCAGCATGATCATGTAGGTAGCTCGTTAGACCAGTGTTCCAGTAATGCATTTATTTCATTCTTATTCTAATTCATCCAGATGTTTAAAATCAATACTAGCCCAAATTCACACTTTATATGAAATGTGAAACCAAACTTTCGCTTAAAAACATTTACCAAACATAAATCTAATCCTTTACTCAAACTATGATCTTAACGAGAAGACAAATCTAAATATATCAAATGAATACTAATTTGAAGAGCAGGTGTGACATAGTCTTGTATTCATCCACACCCTGAAAATAGTTAATTCAGCGTGAAATGATAAGGAAAAAGCTTGTCATTTTGTCGTAGTATATTGTAGATATTTTTTCTTTGTTCTAAGTTTCTAAAAGCATTAATTGTTCATATGAAATGAGAGTGTGCTGATATATAAAAATTAAAAGAAAATCGCTTTTAAGTGCAACGGCTAGTACATTGAAGTTGTCCGTTCACATTTTCGACGAAACAACCATTACCAAAACCCGGTGAAAGCGTTATTGATGAATTTGTTAATCCACTACCACCATAGCAAGTACAACTGATCTCACAGCCAGCACTTGAATTTGAACATCCATAGCAGGTATTTATATAATTCGATCCAGAACATGTATGGCAGCCAGGAACTAAAAGTAATTACAACAGATAACCAAAAACCTCAAAAAAGCAAATATAATTTTACTAGTCATGATTGTGAGTGTGGATGTGGATGTGGGTATAGGTGTCGATAGAGTGTGACGCACCCACACTCACAAATATTTCATCTCTTAGGCTGTGCAGTTTACACAAGTTAGCCTTTCCGAACATAGCTGAGGGTGTGGTGTAGGTGTAAACACACTAACTATTCTACACTCACACTCTCACCCTCAAATTATCTAGCATATTACTAACTTGTTGTTGTAGTTGCTGTTGTTGCCGTTGTTGATGGGGCACCTAAAAGAAACAAGATTTCAGTAAATTCAACACTCCAAGAAATACGAAAATCACACCTTGTATTGAGCTCGTTACCACACTTGAAATTGATGTGGTTTCTTGATCTACAGTTGAAGAACATGTTGGAATAAGTTCTAAGAAAAAAAATCACATAGGTTCATCTATTTTATTCTACAAAAGATGCATCTTACGAGGATCGTTTTTGTAACAAATAACAGTTGCAGTAGTATTCTCCGATGCTTTTATGGAATCTTTGTTACAAGGTTCCGCAAACATTGAACAAATATTTTCATTTTTGAAATAAATTGCTGTTTGACAATAATGCTCATTAACACATGTACGGATACATTCGTCAATCGATGAGTGATTTAATAGTGAATTATTAGCAATAAAAGAACAGGAAATATTCGATTGAAAAATCGATTTTCGATAAAGTTCAACGGTTACAAGAGAATTTATCATA